CATATCAGCCATCACCCCCAAAGTCTCGGAGTTGCACATAGACGAATAACGCGCCTTCATCAGCAAAATTGCTTCGCTGCTGTCGGCATCACTCCTTGGTGCGCCGCCAACCACCACGAAGACTGCACGCCCTATCAAGCAGCGCCTGCTTGGGGTCATGAGAGGCTCTAGGCAGAGCACTCGGCTCCTCCGACAAAGCTCCAACTTTTCCTCTTTATCCTGGCCATGGATCCCCTACAGAGATTGCTGAATTTAGCCACAACAAATGGAGTACTTACCAAACTTCCAGGACGGAATCCGATGATGCGTTGCTCCTTCTACGCATACGATGTCGCCCTGTTCACCAACCCACGGGAGGACGACGCAAGAATGGTCCACCTGTTGCTGTAATGTTTTGCAGACGCGTCAGGGCTGAAGGTGAACACCAATAAGAGCTCGGCTCTCCCAGTAAGATGCGGAGCCATCAATCTGGACACCATACTGGCACCCCTGGGCATCCCATGTAAGACTTTTCCGGTAACATATCTTGGAATGTCGCTATCTCCGCGGAACCTAACCAAGGGGGATCTAGACCCTTTCTTGGTAAAATTTGGAAACAAGACGACCGCATGGAAAGGTGGTCTCATGGCCAAGAGTGGGCGTCTCATGCTTCTTAAATCCGGTCTTACCGCCCTCGCAATCTACATGATGATGGTGCACAAGCTCCCTGCTTGGGTTCTGAAACGACTTCTAAAAAATCTGGCAAGCTTGGCTTTGGAGCGGGGACGCCACGGGTAGTGCTGGCAAATGCAGGGTTGGATGGAGCCAGATCTGCCGCCCGAAAAGCCTTGGAGGCCTGGGGGTGCTGGACCTAAAAAAGTTTGGTACAACGTTGAGGCTACAATGGCTATGGATGGCATGGAAAGACCCACCCAGGCCATGGGTTGGAATTCCGCTACCTTGCATCAACAGTGAGAGGATGCTCTTTGCAATGGCCATGGAGATTACAATTGGTGATGGCAGGAAAGCAATTTTTTGGTAGGATCGATGGCTTCACGGGCAATGTCCCAAAACCATTGCACCAATGCTATACAAGATTTCTATTAGGAAAAATCGCACGGTATATGATGCTCTCACAGAGCAGAAGTGGCTGCAAGACCTAGCAATGGGCCTGTCCGACGACATGCTGTCGAAACTGACGAGCCTGACGGAGTTACTGGACACAATCGTTTTACGGGAGGGACAACCAGACAGAATCGCATGGCAGTTCACGCCAGACCGTGAATACACGGCTCGTTCTGCATACTTGCTCCAGTTCGAGGGAGCGGTGCCAACAGAGGGATACAATCTGATTTGGAAGGGGTGGGCACCTGGCAAATGTCACTTTTTCTTATGGACGGCCTTGTTGGGCAAAATTTTAACAGTGGATGCCCTGCTCCGTCGTGGTTGGGAGAATAACTACTTATGTGCTCTTTGTGAAAGGAATCTAGAAACACCGTCCCACCTGTTGATCGAGTGCCCATGGTCACGACACTCTTGGGAGAAGATTGCTCGTCTGGCTAGCATGCCGGCGTTACTTCCAGTAACTTGGAATGGGTTATTGAATGTCCAACAGTGGCTTACGACCTGCCACAGCAGAGCAAGTGCTGACAGGAAGAAAGGAACATTATCCATTATTCAGCTGATGTGTTGGGAAATATATATATAGAGAGAGAGAGGAATAGAAGGATTTTCAACAAGGAATGCATGGGGCAAGACAGCTTTGTGACCAAAGTAAGAGATGAAATCCAGCGCTGCAACTTGGCTAGAGCGGGAATTCCCTTCGACCCGGGCTGATTTGCTTGCGGGCCGTCTTTCTGTCGCTTTTTTTGCTTGCCTTCTCTTTCTGTTATTTATCCATGCGGGTGTTCAGTCCCTTGCTGTTCACCTGTCTTGGGTACCCCTGTAGCTCGTTTTTCCCCCACTGATCAATGAATTTGGTAGTTAATCTACCAACATTCGAAAAAAAGGTGACCGAGCTGGATGTTGCGGGACGCTAGGTGCGATGACACGGGATTTGTTTGGGAAAAAAAAGATCTGCAAGGTGTGGTATATACGTGTCATGGACAACAATGGTAAAAAAAAGGAGCAATGGGACTTGTGGAGGCATGCATGGTGCAGCCACGGAAGATACCATGGAAGTAACTTGTTTTTGGATTGCATTGCTAATTGTACATGTGGTTTTACCAGGAGGTTTGCAGGTTGGTGACACGTGCATAAGGTTCGGAGGAGCCTGGAGTGCGTCAGGTTCATGCATACACTGGGCGTCAAGCAATGCACGGAGTGGGGCGGACACGACGCAGGGTGAAGCATGGTTGCAGTCAGATAATTTTGGCGGGGTCGGACAGGACGGATCGACCGGGTTGTTGGTCAAAGCAGAAGACGATGGTGGTTTCAGTGACGACAACATAGGAGCGTGATGCTGATGGTGGCCGACTTCTGGGGCATGGAAACACGTGGTGCAGGCCTGAGGGCTTGTGCAGCTTTGACAGACTATGGCGCGGGGTTGATTTAAGACGGTGCACATGAGAGCTTGGAGTCGACAGGGCGCGGGAGGGTGGCACGTACAACCACCATGGAGTATTGTTGAAGGTGGAGTTGGAGTCTGGTGGACGACTTCACTCTGTGCTGATGGAGAGGCTATGACGTAAGAATTCAGAGAGTCGAAGCTTATTTCAGCGGGATAGCGAGAGACACGTGGATCAGACTGGGTACCAGTGGTCTGATGGAGGCGTGATACTCGGCATCGGTCGGTGATGATCGGTGGTTCTCTGCAGTGGGGGTTGACGCAGTGTAGGCTAGCTACCCGGGAGACTCGACTAGGACAGCAGAGGCTCAACGCGGTGATAGCGGCGAGGCGTGCGGTAAGCAAGGGACATAGCGACAGACCAAGGCACTAATGGTGAGACATATGGTCAGAAAAATTGTGCAGGGGTGCTGAAGCAGTGTTGACGAGTACCAGATTCAAGTTGGTGATTGGGTCTATCGGTGCTAGTTAATAGACATGAGTTGACCATGGAGAATCTGAGAAAGTGACGGAAAGTCTGAAATTGTCAAAAGCTGAGAGAGTACATGGCCGTATATTCTGTGGTGTTCAGTGCACACGGCAAAGTGTGGATGACAAGTACAGAAGGAGGCGGAGTGCTATAGTTGCGGGACATGTTAGAGACTATCCGGGAAAAAGGATGAGACAACTGTGAATTTGACTCAGGGTGACACAGGGCGACGGTGAAATTCTTTCAAGTTTCAGACAGACGGTCAAGAAAGAGCGGTGATGTTGAGTTCAGGTAACTCTTGTATGTGACATCCAATATGTGAGTTTTTCATTTTCACGCAGATAAATTATCGGTGTGTGATGGCGTTGAATGGAAACTCCGAAAGTTAGGAGCACAAAGTAGAGTAATGAGAAACTTAATTTTTGCTTGAGTGTTGACTGTGAAGAAGACGAGAAGGGACTACAGTTGCAGGTGGAGTCATATGAAGTCTGGGAGTAGCAGTGGTGCTCATGGCGTATCTCAAGTCCAATGTACATGTAGGTTCGACGCACGGACGAATTCAAAGTGGTGGAGAATATTCGTCAAGGTGGAGTTTGTTAGAATTGTGTTGAATATTATTGTACAAGTTAGGTTACAGTTGGACTTGGCTTTGGACTGTGTGTAGACAGGGTAGGAGTTGTGTCATAATAGGAGACTTGTATCCTAGGCCTCTCATATATAGCGGGGGTAGACACACGATGTAACCTATGCCAACATAATAGCACAGGCACGCGGGGGGAGCCGGCGGCGTGTGCCGGCGCCCGGGCGGCCGGAATGCGGTATTGTGACGGTGTCATGGGGAGGAGCGGCCGTAGTCATGCCCCGGGGATGTAGCTATGATGGTGAACCTCGTTAACAAATCACGGTGTCATGCTCGTGTGATTGCTTGGTCCTCGGTAGATCAACGGTGGCCTCGGATTTATTCTAACATAGGCCATGGCGACGGGCTGGGCGGCGCGGTCGGAGCGGCCGGCGCCGAGGGAGGTGGACGCCGGGGCCGGAGTGGCCGCCGGTGTGGGAGCAGGTGGCTCCCTGCTCTAGCGAACGCCCGCGGTGGTCGCGGAGGAGGGCGGCGAGGAGGCTTGGCATTTGTGCACTATAACTGCAAATTGGTAATCGTAGTTACTTTTGTGTCGTACATTTCCTATCATGTTACAAAAATTCAACACCATATTAGGTTCAAACATGAAAAACAATAAATATAAATACTTCATTATGGTTCTGTTGAGGGGTATAGAAGTTGGTAGTTAACACACACTCGGTGACCGTGAGAAATAAATATTGTGCAATACAACAATTAGGGTAATGATAACCGGCGAACGTCAGCTGAAAGGGAATGTCAAACGAACATCTTTTTTCTTCAACTTTACCTGGTAGGAGATGGCAAATCCTGCCTTTTTTGCCTCAAATTGCCAACTTCATATAACTAAACTTGTCGTTTAAAACGTTTATAGATGCAAACCCCTTCAAACGAACGTTCGTCAGATTTTACGGTCCTATAGTTAATATTTTTGTAAAGTTTTCTTACCATATTTATGGTTCTGCTAAATCTAAGTCGTCTGACATTTTACCCCTACCCAGATATCTCCTCGTTAAGATTTACCGCTATTGGAGGTAGGAAACCTTCCCTGTCAAACAAAAACTGCTACGATGGAGCGCCGTAATATATTTTCTGAATAGTTTGTCTAATTCACGCAGGGGATTCACATTTAAGGCTTAATTCCACCACAAGTCAGGAACTGGACATAGTCATACGTACGCTTTGGTCTCAGAAAAAGGCAGGAAAACGAAGATCCTGCACCCCACCACGTACGCAGAAACACCAGAGAAACAAAGGAAGAGCGGCACTGTACTGTTCATCTTCAAGGTTGCTGGATCCCAAATGAACCAAAGAACAATTCTTCACAAGTATTCCTATACCTATGCAATATAAACTATGCGAGCACGTCAGCAGCAGTGCGTGCGGCCGCTGGACCCTGACTGCTTGACGCCGCCGAGCATCTGTGTCACCATCCCGATCCCGTTCTCCAACCACCGGCCGTCGTCCCCCACGAACGGCCTCGCCGCGGCGGCGAGCACGCTGGAGATCTGTATCACGAGCAAGAGCAGCAACACCGCCTTCACCATGTTCACCGTCGCCGCCATTGTCGTCTGACACAGCAGGAAAGATCGCCCCGATCAAGAGAGAGACTGAACCCAAAAGAGACACAGGAACAGGGTGGAGTACTCTCTGTTTTCGAGCTTCAAGTTCTGGTTTTGTGCTTATATGCAGCAATGTCTGGCTGAGGAGCTGAGGTTAGTTTGGATTGGAGGAAGCTCGCTGAGCTCGTCTGTATATATACATGCATGCAGAGCGGCGTGGCGTGCGGCTATCCAGCCAGTGCCCTCGGTAAACGATTCAAACGTACGTGGAGAAGGGAGAATTCGTGCAAGACTCGTTCATGGTCTCTCCAACACGCCGGTCTGAATCGATCAGCGCACGATCATGCTGCACTCCGGCTCTTGAACCGTTCCAGCTTGTTGGACAAGTAGAACCGTATAATACTACGTGCTAGCAGGCTAGGCTAGCGGCAGAGGAAGTGTCGCAGAAACCTGCACTAACGTAAAGGAATGCGTGCTTTTGAATTCTGAATTCGTTCGGGTCAAACGCAAGAACACGAATATTATTTGTTCAACGAGAAGCTGAAATTCCTCGTGTTGGTGTACATGGGTTGGTCCTGGTCGTGAAAGGGGGGAGGCAGGGAAAACTTGCATACAGACACGCATCGTCCTTGTTAATGTCGCCAACATGAACAATCTATCGTGTTCACTGTCGTACTACCACTGCTACTTGGTCAAGAAATACTGTAGCCGTTGGACCAAATGTATCGTGTATCTTAATGTCTTATAGAGTTCGAGTCAGAAAGGATGTACTCTGTTTTTATTTACTCTGCATATTAGGTTTGACTGAAGTCAAACTTCGTAAAGTTTAATCAAGTTTATGGAAAAAAATACAAACATTTACCCTAACAAATCCATATGACGTGAAAGTACATTCAATAATGAATCTAATGATATTAATTTGTTATTATATATGTTAATATTTTTGTTTATAAACTTTGCAAAGTTTACAAAGTTTGACCTTGAGCAAAGCTAATACGTGGATTAAATAAATAATAAAAACAGGGGCAATATATGTTGGTAGCTATTGCCATGGGTTGGGTTGAATTAAGTAACTAACTGATGTCTTGTCCATGGGAAAGATTGACCGTACAGTGTTGACGTCATCAAGACCAAGACTACTCGTCGGTTGCTTTAGGTAAATCAACGGTGCTGACCGTCTCTAAGGTCTGTGTCGACGGGTCAAAGGGCCGGAACCTGTCCAACACGAAAAATACGAGGTGGGGTGGGGAGATCGGAAGCAGTGACCCATTCTACACGGCCGGGCACACGTATGCGCATGCATGTGTGTGCACCTACCACCTACGTGCACCTACCCCCTCTCACGGTCTCACCTCTATATAAATCGAGACACACCATGCAAATCAACCCATCTCCATTCAGCAGAAACAAACCAAACCAAGCTCTCACAAGCTCCGCTGAACCTCGGAACCTGAAGCTACTGAACACGAAGCAAGCAAGGCAATCGTTCTCCCCCCTAGATCAGAACCTGCTGTCTCCCGTCTGCACAGTAACAACAGCGATGGCGGCGACCGCGGCGGCGTTGATGAGGATGGTGCTGCTGGTGGTGCTCTTGGTGCAGATGCTCAGCGTCATGGCCGTCTCGGCGAGGACGTTGAAGGGGGACGCCTGGCTCACGGACGGCATCGGGATGGTGATGGAGATGTTCGGCGACCTGAAATCAGGGTCCAGCCCTCCCACGCACTGCTGCTAAGCGAACCGATCAAGCAGACAGTTTTTCTTCGGTTAGAAGATGTAAAGATGCGAGGCTCTCTTTTTCTTTTTGCCTCTTTGTTGTAGAGGAGTATATATAGATAGGATCATTCTTTCGTTGTAGAGATCAACTGGCCATTCAACAAAGGTCTAACTGTAACTATGTTACTATTTGAGTACAAAATTTGTTCATTCTTTCAAGCAATCGGTGGCAGTGTGTATGGATTGTCTCTGGCCTTAAATGTTTCGACTGATTTCAAAGAATGGCTTTTGCGTCCCCACAACAACAACAAAATAGCTTTTGCGAGTTATTACTCTTTGCATTTTATTTACGGAAATGATAAACCCCGTTCGGATTTTAAGCATGACAACCCGAACATTTCTCATACTAACTTTAGTTCACGCAAGATTGGCAAACATGATAATTTTCTGACAAAAAACAGACTGGGACAAAGTTGTCATTTTTTTAACACAGTACAGACGCAAGCGCTCATATAAACGCGCATACACTCACCCCCTATGAACGCATACACACACCCTACCCCTATGAGCACCTCCGAAAGACTGAGCCGGTATATCATCTTGAAATTTACGAAGTCATCGTAGGCACCCCCACGTCAACTAAAGTTGACGTGAAAAAACGTTAGAGATGGCATGCTTAAAATCTGAACGTTTGAGATTTATCGGGGTCTTTTTTTATGTCCACTTTCTTTCAGAGAACATCGCATTTCAAATATTTATAAATTTTATTTAGATAAAAAGAGAAATATGAACAAATATAGACTCAAATGATCATACACGAAATACTTTTACGAGTCTAAAAACCGACCACAAAATTTGACCCGTGCCGTGCGGCTGCGGGGCCGGTTGTTGGTCTGGTCTCATATATGTGGAACCGAGACTGCTGACCAATTAAACTCGAGCTGCCGAAGCTGGTGTGGTCAAATTAACGCACAAGTTGGAACACGGCCGGGAGAGGAGAGGCCGCTGCATGGTAGGTGTAGCACGTAAAAGGCTGGTCCGAACGGGAGATTTCTACACGGTCGGCCGGTCGGTCGGGGTTTGCAGCGTCTTGTGTTGGGCAGCGGTGCAGGCAGAGGAAACAGCGCGCGACACCTGCCGCTCCACTGTCGGTTCTTCACGCCTTTCTTCTGCTTTTTTTTTTACGTAGCCTTTCTTAGGCTCCATGGCGGCTCTTCACACTTGTCATCCAGTCTGGGGTCTCATGTGATTCACCAGCGTCCTTCATGTGATGTTCCCTCCCGGACAAACTTCACGCACCGACGGAAGCGTTCATGGTGCTCGTTTTCTCATGCACCCTACATTTTCGACCGATACCAATAATGATTTTGTAGGTTGACCCATCCACAGAGATAGAGAAAGAGAGAGCATGCTCACTTGCAACTGTTGCTCCGTCAAGAAATACATGGAGTAGTATTCTTGTTGTAGGAGGTTTTGGGTCAAATCAATGCTTGTAGTCGTCACTAAGTGGTCTACAAATCTGGATGTAATTTTTATTTCTGTTGTTTGTTGTACTGCCATGATTGAAGATGAATAGATTAGAGGTTTTTTCGCGGAAAAAAAAACCCATGCTATAGTTTGTTGCATATACCACTGACGAAAGCACGGCAGATTTTGCTAGTGCGCTGGTTATTCAACATTTGACCAAGTCAATGGTATGAAGAATCAGTCGATCTGTATTTTTTTCGTGGCAACCCCATCTGTCTACAATGGATATATGCCGCCCACAGGCGGCAAATAGGCGTGGCTTCGCCGGCAGTTGAGCCAGCCCAGTTCGCTGCTACCTTTTTTGTTTTTGTTTGTTTTCTTTGTTGCTTTTTTGTTTGCTTTTTTCCTTTTCTGTGTTTTCATTCTAGTTCTTTTACAGACATTTTTTCTGGTTTTGTATGTTTGGTCTTCTCTTTATTATTAATTATTAACATATATGGTGAACATTCCTATATACTGTGGAACATTTTCATATAGGCAAATATTTGTCCCTCGCGAAAGAAAGAAAATATATTTTTTTCCCTTTCCATGAGACACAGCTATACCTCTCGCGTAATCAAATTTGTGCCTCCACGAGAAACAAAACTGTGACTCTCGCGGAAGAAGAAAAACACGTTTTTTTCCTTTTTCGAGAGGCACGGCCTCTTGTGGAAGAAAAAACGCATGTTTCTCTCTTTTCGAGAGGTACACAGCACAACGGTGCCTCTCTCGGAAGAAAAAAATGTGTTTTCTTTTCAGAGAGGCACAACTGTGTCTCTTCCGGAAGTAAATTTGTGCCTCCACGAGAAATAAATGTGTGCCTCTTGCGGAAGAAAAGAAAAGCGTTTTCTCGCACATTTAAAAGAAATGGGTCTGAAACCAAAACCGGGTGAAAATCTAAAAACCAAACAAAAATCCATCTAAACCCGAACACATGTACCCAAAAAAATAAGAGGGAGCGCTCAGCATGCGACACGTGGCCACCAAAAGGAACCTTGCGGGGCTCCCGCAAGGGGTACCCCTTGGTTAGTTGCCCTTTTTATAAGATAATACGTGTCTCATTTATATCATAAGGATTATAGTACAAGTCACGTACATATCGACCTGGCAAAACTAAAAAGATAACATAATGATAGCCTTTCCACAAAGGAACACCAGCCACCGAAAAATCCTCTGAGCTTGACACCAATGCCCTTCACCTACCACTGGCACCACCATAGCAGCCAGCAAAGGAAAAAAGTGACGGATCACCTCCACATCCCGAGCTCGATGCGGCTCCATCGTTGGTATGCAACTTTGCGGACCTTCAAGGTGGCTCGACAAAGGCGAAACCATTAGCGTTCAGTGAATCAGACCGGGGCAAAACCCGGACACGCCATCAAACTCCAGATCTGGCACCCCCACATGACTAAGACATATGAGGAGGAAACCATACCTGCCATCCACGAACCTAGCACACGATCCACCATCCTTCAGATGTCGCCGATGCAGATCATCACAATCTGCATCCAGTCCTGGATTACCTCCCAAGCTCCGCGTCGGTGCTGGAGCAGACGTCGCCGCAATGGCGGAGCTCGAGGATACCGTGTTGGGAAACATAGTACGAAACAAAAAAAATAGCCCTACGAATACCCAGGAACAATATGAAGATGCATATTAGGTTTGAATCAACGATCATTACCAACTCCGGAGTGCAACGGAAGTAGACGAGACGGTGTAGATCGTACCTGGAGTCCCTCGAACCTCGATGACAATCCCGCAAACTGCCCTTGAATGTTCCCTCGAACAGAAGACCGAAAGCACGGCCTCTCCACTTGGTTGCAAGCGTGCGGTCTTCACGATCCGGTAGTGCTTCGCTGCCCAGAGCTAATCGTCGCCGGAGAATTATGGGGATGAGATTAGAACCACACGGGGCTTCTAATTATGAGGATTAGAGGTGGCTAGGGCTAGCTCTAATTAGTCAATTAGGACCAACTAGAACTAGATCAACTAGAGGAGGCTCCAAAACTTGTATCATTATAGGCTGGAAATTCTCTAGTGTATATACGTTTAGGGGAGAGGAGGGGGCAACCCCACCAAGGGGGGAGGAGTCCCCCTTGGTGCGCCGCCTAGGGGAAGTTGGACTCCCACCCCTAGTAGGATTCGGCCTCCCATAGTGGGAAAGGGATGGGGGCTCCCTATTGGGCCCTTGTGGCCCAATTCCTTCTCCACCTCTTGGCCTTATTGTAGGAAATATGCCCTAGAGGCAATAATAAAGTTGTTATTTGTATTTTATTATTCATGATAGAATTGTATTAACCAGAAATTTAGTACATGTGTGAATACATAGACAAACATAGTGTCCCTAGTATGCCTCTACTTGACTAGCTTGTTAATCAAAGATGGCTAAGTTTCCTAGCCATAGACATGTGTTGTCATTTGATGAACGAGATCACATCATTAGAGAATGATGTGATGGACAAGACCCATCCATTAGCTTAGCATAATGATCGTTTAGTTTTATTGCTATTGCTTTCTTCATGACTTATACATGTTCCTCTCACTTTGAGATTATGCAACTCCCGAATACCAGAGGAACACCTTGTGTGCTATCAAACGTCACAATGTAACTGGGTAATTATAAAGATGCTCTACAGGTGTCTCCAATGGTGTTTGTTGAGTTGGCATAGATCGAGATTAGGATTTGTCACTCTGAGTATCGGAGAGGTATCTCTGGGCCCTCTCGGTAATGCACATCACTATAAGCTTTGCAAGCAATGTGACTAATGAGTTAGTTGCGGTATGATGCATTACGGAACGAGTAAAGAGACTTGCCGGTAACGAGATTAAACTAGATCCACTTGAAACCAAGCAAATCCATGGATTAAAATCAACAAAACTTCCTCAAACCAACAAATCACAAAAAAATTGGGACTATTTTTGGTGGGGATTTTCGAATTTAGGGAAGAACACAACAAAATTAGGCTAGAAAACACAACGGGGAGGCTCCGAAATCGTGATCAACGTGGCTCATGATACCAAGATGGTGTAGGGTGGAACCCTATACGGCAGATCTTTCACGAAAGGAGTGGATCCGCGAAGAACACGAAGAACACGAGGGGAAACACTAGGGGAAAATCACAAGGGGAACACAAGAGAACACTCAAGCCAACAAGTATGATCATACATGCGCTAGATCCATGAACACAAAGGAAGATACAAGATCCATGGTCAAATAGGGATGATACAAAGGTAGCCGGTCTTCTCCGTGAGGAGGTCTTGATGTTCTTCCCATGAAGGGGTCTTGAATCCGCTTGGGGGATCTTCTCCGAGGAGGCGCTATCTCCGAGGAGAAGGTAACCAAGTGATGAGCAAAGCTCTCACACAAAATATGAGCTAATCCTTTGCTAACTCTAGAAAGGAGGTGGAGGTGGTCTATTTACAGTCTTAGCCATGAATGGGTAAGTGGGAGAGGGGTACAAGGCCAAAGGCCCGCGACTATGCACAGGCAGGTACCGGAAGACCGGTGGGGGT